CCCCCAACCCCAGGGAGAGAAGGGCACCTGAGAGGGAAGAGATGATTGCAATGTGGGGGAGCTGTTTTTGGCCATGGGCTTCATTGGCTTTCCCGGGCCGCTGAGCACGGACCCTCTGGGTGGAGCTCCACCAGACTGGCAGTCAGACCGCACCATACACGTCACAGATGGAAAACTGAGACTTGGGAGCTCAAAACCAGATTTTGTGGTCATGCAGTTAGAACCCAGGACCCTTTACTTCATTCAGCTGCTGTCTCCTGGGGCTTTCCTCCCTGCCTACCACCATTTGCACTGCAAACTGTGAACACAGTCCACGGGCAAAATCCTGGGGGTCCAGGCATTTTCAGCACAGTGGGGGCTGCGGGGAGGCAGGGAGAGGAAGCGGTGATCAGTCCCAGGCTGCTCCTGGGCCAGCATCCACCCTGGTCCCTGCAGCCCCTGGATGTGGCATGGTGGGGGCTGCGCACATATCCACAAGGCACGGGGAAATCAACCTCGAACGGCTAATCGCCTATCCAAACATTGTTGGTAATCTGCATCCCTAAAATAAACCCTTGAAAGATGGAAAGATGTTAGTAATTTCTGGCCATATGTGCCTCCTCCTTTCCTACTCTCCCCACCTCAAAAAAGAAAGTGAGCCAAATGGCAAGAAATAAAGAGCTTAATGCATAACACATTTCCATCATTTGAGCTACCCCCTCCCCTCGCCGTTCCCCCCACCTATGTAAACTAAATTCCTTTACACGGTCATGGCAAAGGAACATTAATTTTTGATTTGAGTTGTGATTAAAAGCAACACAATCAAAAGAATGAAATAGTTTCCACTGAAGCAATATCATTTTAAACTGAGTCATGGTATAGTAGGAAAGAGTGTGGTCTTTGGGGTTCGGTGTGGGTTCTAGTCTTGATCCTCCTATTACAAACTGTGGCCTCGTGTTGTCCGTACTTCATCTGAGTCCTTCTCCTTGATTGTAATAAATAACGTTGATGCCTTCTTGACATGGTTGTGTGAGCATTGCTGGAATCACACACAGAGCACCTACCCCGGCTCATGTACGCAGTCCAGCTGGTGGGGGTGCTCAGTAAATGGTGATTCACTTCTCCGTAGAAAAGAGGGTGCCCACATTGTCAGCTGGCACATGCCTTCATCTGTCCTGATGATGTAAGTCATTGCTCTTCTCTCAATGCTTGCTTCTCAGCCTTTGACTTTGGGGACTCGCTTGGGACTCATCTAACGCCGCCACTTCTTGGAGGGTCTTGTGAAAGGAGCAGTATTGTTCTTACTGCCTTGGCTGCATGCAGTACTCTTTGCTGCCTTTTGTTGATAAGTGGTTTCGCCAGCCCTGTTTGCTGTACTTTGCAGAGGGGAGGCAGAGATGGAGACTTGGCGTTGCCTCAGGGTGGGCAGTGAGTCTCCTGCAGCTCGTCCATTGCTCAATGCTATTAAGAGCTTCCCTCATTGGGCCTCCCTGGTGGCGCATGGGTTAAAGACAGCGTATCAAGCTATTGCCAGCCAATGCAGCACGAGTTTGATTCCCCAGCCAGCCAGGGAGGTGACCCACTTGGCGCAGCAGACCACTCCTGACTTGCCTGCTGCTCCCCTCAGCAGTGTATTTCAGTAGATCTGTCTGTTCTGCTCCCCACTCTGTCTCTGGTGAATCATCTCAATGCCCCCCACCCCCAGCCTCTGGCTTACACCTCAGTTCTTGTATGCATAAATAAATAAATCTTAAAAAAAAAAAAAAAAAAGAGCTTCCCTCATCAATGAGCCACAGGCCAGAATAGGTGAAGTCTTTTCTTAAGTGAACAGGCCCACACCAGCTACAAGGTCTATAAGCCAACAGTGGAAACCGTTAGGGAGTGGACCTGTTTGGGCATGTCTGGGGTGAGGTCTCAGGGGGGTGGTTTTTGCTACTTTCTATTTGCTGCGTGCCTCCCTGCTGGTCCCACTACATCCTGTCAGTGGTGGGGGTGGGGGCTTGACATAATCAGAAATGCTAGTCAGTGGCTGGTTAGGGTTGGGGAGAGAGTTAAAGAAGGAAACTCTTCAGCCCACTCCATGTGTGCTGGGAAGACCACCCCAAGAGGTCAAGGTTAATCCTCAGCAAGAGCATTCTGTTTCTTCCTGCCCAGTTCCTGAACCTTCCATCACCTTTGGGAGTGAGGCATTTCTTAAGAGGTACCAGGCCTAGGATATCATATGGACTTAAGTAGGCGTCAGTGTCTGGAACTCTTTTTGTAAGAAAATTTTTTTTTTTTTTTTTTGTAAGAAAATGAATGTGGCAGGAGCACGTTTAATTTACTGAGTAGACACATTCGTTCAAAATTTGTTCCTAGAATTTCCCACTCTTTCTTATTCTTGGGCTTACCAAGGGTGTGTTTTTTATCCAGTTAAATATTTAATCATAAAACCTTCACAAATGCCACTTTGCTGGAGTATCTCTATCAATCAAGAGGATCCATTTCACCATTTACTAAGTCAAATCACTTTTAAATATGGGTGAAACTAGAAGAGGGTCTGATCTTTTCCCCCTACTTTCTTTGGTCCATTTAGTCACACTACCTACGTTTTGCATCCATTCTCAATAATTTTGCAACCATAGTCAGCCATGGATTACATGGCGATTAAAAGGGCACATTCAGACATGGGTTTACGTTTAGGATTAGCGACTTCAGGCCAGTAAACTTAACCCTTACACCTTAGTTATCTCACCTGTTTGCGGGGGAATAATTGTACCTTTCTCATGACCTTGTTAAGTTTAATTGAGGAAATGCATGGAAAATACTTAGCATATTTCCTGGCACGCCATATGCTTTCGTAATTGTTAGCTACTGTTATTGAGTTTAGATTCAAGACATTCCTCATGAAAGCTTTGAGTTATTAAAACGTGAGGGTTTGGTCATTTTGAATTCATGAGGATTCAGAGGATATCCAAATTATCTGGTGACTAGCATCTAGAAAATGATCTTCAATCTCTTTATAAGCATCTGGGGCCAGTCCTCGTGGTCTGGTGACGGCAGCAGCATGTGTTCATTTCCAGGTGATAGAAATGTCTCCTCCCGAACTGTTCTTCAGTAGGCCCCCATAGCCATTACTAAAGTATCTGGTCCACATGTTAAAAAAATATTATTAACACAGGGTCTGCAGAGACAAAGAAAGAGAAGGCAGTGCTGGTGGGTGTGCTGGCTTTCCTTTCTGCATGGGTTGTGCTGAGAACAGAAGCAGCCTGAAGACCATGTTAAAGTTGAGGAGCACCCGAGAACATCGCCAGGACCTGCTCTGATTTGGCAGAAAGCCAAAGTAGAGTTTGGTTCTGTGTGTTCTACTCTGGATGGAACATGAGGGCGCCGTTAGTGGTTGGTTCGTGGCACCCTGGCGGGGACTCTGATTTCTCCAGTGCTGATGGGGGCATTGATATTGGGAGCACCTAATCATGATATTTTGAAGTGCTTGTTAACTTTCCCTTGCCAGCTATGCACACATAGATCCTATCCTTTTAATAGGGCCCAACTTTCATGGAATTTTGGGTCCTGTGGATGCTAACAAGAAAAACCAATAATTTTCTTTAAAAAAAAAAAAAAAAAAAAAACAGGACCTCCCTGGTGGTGAAGGTGGTTGAGCACAGCGCTAGGAAGCTGTCCATAGCCTCTGCAGCTTGGGTTTGATCCTGGCCAAACGGGGAGTTACCCACATGGCACGGCAGACCTCTACTGTCTCACCCGCTGTGCCCCTCAGCAGTGTGTTTTGGTCAGTCTGCCTGTTCTGTTCCCCGCTCTGTCTCTGGTGGATCCTCTCACCCTCCTGCACATCTGGCCTATACCTCACTTCTTGTATGCATGAATAAATAAATCTTAAAAATAAAATAAAATAAAAACAATTCAGGATAAGTTTTTCCTTTGAATGCTGAGGTCGAGAGACCAGAATAGCATTAGATTATGTGAATCCATTATATTGGATTATATGATCCTCTTCTTTTAAAAAAATCATAGATACATTTATTTTATTAATGAAGTACCCTTGTTTTACATTTTTGTTAATATTTTGACAATATAGGATTTCTCCCCTAAGGTGTGGTCATCGTAGCTCTCCTACCACCTAGTCCTCCACCATACTCCATTGTGTCTTCCCCTCCCTGCTTCTCATCCTTCCCTCCTGCCCCTGTCTCCTCCCCTCCCCTCTGGGGTGCCTCAGAGCACCCAAGTCAGTTTTCAAGGATTGGTTTTATAGATTGTCTTTGTCTGACCCTTTGTTTGGTTTCTCTATATTCCACATATAACTGACACCCTCTGATGTTTATCCTCTCCTCTACCTTATTTCACTAAGCATAATCCCTTCCCTCCATATTGCCACAATGGCATGAGTTTCTTTCTTTTGGTTGCTGAGTAGTATTCCACTGCGTGTATCTACATCTTCTCTGATCCTCTTCTCTTAAAGCATTTTATGATGTTCTGAGTCATTGGATTTTAAAATTAAAACAATATCATTGAGGGCCTCCCCGGTGGCACAGCGGTTGAGCGCTGGGTTGCGAAGCTGCCCGCAGCCTCTGCAGCACTGGTTCGATCCCCGGTCACCGGGTGAGGGTCCCACATGGCGCGCAGACCTCTCCTGCCGCCCGCTGCTCCCCTCAGCAGTGTACTTCGGTCCTTCTGCCTGTTCTGCTCCCCGCTCTGACTCTGGTGAATTCTCTCACCCTCCTGAGCTTCTGACTGTACCCAGTGCTTGTATAAATAAATAAATAAATCCTTTAAAAAAAAAAAAAAACAATATCATTGGGTCTTGAAATTTTGAAAATCTTAAGGCACCTATAGTAACTACTGAGACACCCTGAGAAACCTCTTCTCCACCAGCTATAATTCTTCCTCTCTTTCCTTGCTATTTGCTTTTATTTTATCTCCAGCTTCTGCTGTGTATTTGGGTTGTTTTAGATGAAAACTGTGTTCTAAAATGCTTTTTCTCCCCCCTTCTCTCCTTCCCCTCTCCTTGTCCTAACTACCCCTAGCACTGAGGATGAAAATCAAAGAAGTGAAAAAAGAAAATGGTGACAAAAAGATTGTCCCCAAGAAGAAGAAGCCCCTGAAGTTGGGGCCCATCAAGAAGAAGGAATTGAAGAAGCTCGTCCTGTACCTGAAGAATGGGGCAGACTGCCCCTGCCACCAACTGGACAACCTCAGCCACCACTTCCTCATCATGGGCCGGAAGGTGAAGAGCCAGTACCTGCTGACGGCAATCCACAAGTGGGACAAGAAAAACAAGGAGTTCAAAAACTTCATGAAGAAAATGAAAAATCACGAATGTCCCACTTTCCAGTCTGTCTTTAAGTGATTCTCATGGGGCAGGGTGGGGAGGGAGCCTTGGGTTGGGTGAGGGGTCGGGGCTGAACAGATCACCCTGAACCAGGGCCTACACACTCACTGCTCCCCTGTTGGTGAAGTACGCTGTCATCCATTGCCTTATTCCTGCAGCACCCCTCTCCCCCCCTCCATAGCCATGCTCCAGAACCCAGTATAGCCAATATTTAAAGCCGCACGCCCAGGTAAGGAAAACCGTTTAGCTTAGGAAGCTCTTTAAGATTTACAGTGTGGAACAAAAGCACATTGCTAAGTAAAAGGAGGTGCAAAAACTTCAACCAGAGACACAGTCACTAAGTAAGAACATATTGCTAGTAAAAAGGGGGGCTTGGGCAAAAAAGTGAGAGACAGCAGCAAAAAACTCAGTTCTGCAACTTTCTTTGTGTGATTACATCAGCTGCATCTACACCTTTGAAAGTGGAAAGTTCTAACTTGGTTAATGCCAGATCATTTTCTCTTTCTACCAGCTTTAGATGGTAACAGACACACGTCATGTTTACAAAGTGAGATCAATTCCAGAAAGTAGTAGGTGCAGGAAGAAAAAGCACAAGTACAGGATAAAACTGTGAAAACTAAGGCAACTTGTGACTGTCCTTTGATGTGATTCTCAGGCCCCAGGAGGTGCAGGTAGCGCTGCCTCAGCGTGTGATGGAATCTCTGGACATGTGTGGGGTGCCACGTGCCTCCTCTGTGTGAGGGAAAGGAAACTGTGGGCTCCAAACCCAAGCCATGAAAGAGACAATGATTTTCAGACTGAGAAGGCAAGTGGTTAGTGGTTTTCAAAGAACATAGTTAAAGGAGAAAAAGGAAAAAATTTACAACAGTGCAGGAAATTGCTAGTCAGGGGAATTGTAATTGGGTGAAGAGCTTAGTATTCTAATTTCATCTGTTCATTTCACATTGTTTTTAGTGAACAACAACAGAAACCCCTACTTTGAAATGTCTTTTAGAAAACTCTACATCGGGCATTGGAAAGGGGTTCTAAGACCACTTGGGGCTATTTTGGAGCAATGTGACACTCTACTTGGCTTTTTCGGAGGGAAGTGGATTGGCGATCCTGCTTCCTGAGGAGTTCTGGGTTGCCTGAGACCCAACACCACACCTGTCGAAATTCACAATGCTCCCCCTTCTTTTCTCTCCTGAAGAGGTGGATTCCTTTAAACTTGACTGCCCATAGATCAAAGAAAATCAGAACAGCCTGCTTGCCTTTCCTCCTGTACTTAAAAAAATTTTTTTTTTCTTCTGCACAGGAACAGTAAGGCTACAAATGTCCCCATCCAAGGAGAGAGTTTCAAAGGCAGTTTTGCAGTTTTTTCCTGAATGCTCTAAGTTATTTCTCAAAGCCCTTGTGTTTAATAAGTGACGTACATAAACTTGTTCACTTATGCACCTCTATTCGTCTTGTTCAACGTGTAGGAAGTAATGCTAAAAAAATCACTGTTATCCATAACCCCCACCTCCCCAGCCTGATTCTTAATTCTCTTTAACATCTTGTGGACTTTAATGATTGTCCCTCTGAGCGAATGTTTATACCCAGTGCGACTGCAGTGAGGCTGGAACATGCCCCCATCCCCTGCCAGTGACCCTGGCCTGACACAGAAACGGTGGAAGCTTCTGTTAACTTCCAAAGACTCCAGTCTCAAAATCAGCCTGCCAACTTCATTACCTACCTGAGGGTTGTCCTGCTTTAATTAACATCTCACAATCAGTGATTCCATCATTTTGACAATTTTATTTGGTTCTCGTTGACTGTTACTCAAAAAATTTTTGGGGAATCTTACGTGATTTGCTATAATTTTGGATGATTTAAAAAGTGTGTACATATATATTAGTTAATTAGAAATATTCGTTCCTATTGTCAACTGAAATTCAGAGCCATTTCCTGAGCGCGAGGGTCTCAGACTTAGTTTTGGTTGATTAACTCAAGAGTTCAGTGCTCTATGTATCTGCTTGTTTTGACAGAGTGAGTCAGAGAGGAAGGCCCTCTGTCCAAGCAGGGCCTCAGGAGGAGTATTTATGAGGGGTATTAGCTGTTACTGTAGGCAGACTATCGAAAAATAGAGGTGGCCATGCTATGCAACTATCTACATGGGAATTCTCAGGTGGGAAGCACATTTTCAGAAAGAATTCAAAATAAAGTAGAAATGTGAATTGCAGCGACTGGTCTTATCCCAACTACAGAGTCCCTGGACTTTGAGCTCCACTGTGGACTTGAGACCAACACTAGCATTGTCCACAACATATCAGTGATTTCAGGGTGCCAAGGGAGGCTATGGGCCTAAAGCTGCATTTTTAAAACTCTTTGTTGTTCTCAACAAAGGATATAAGAAAACCAATGTGCAGACTCATTGGCTTGGTCATTGGTTTCAAAAGAGGAGGTCTGTATGTGATTCGGGAATTATTACTAGTGCAAAGGTAGGATTTGTAAAGATTTAAAATAATCATTCTGGGAGACTCCTGAGAGGTTACTGGCAGAACTCATATAACTCTTTGAAGAGCATTAGAAATTACCTTAGAAGAGTGAGGTGGGAGTTCCAAGAACACTTTTTTTTTTTTTTTTTTTTTACAGTACCCTGTGTCACACTTGGCTCTTGGTGTCTGTGAATTAGCACCAAGGTCTCCCTCAAGCAGAATCCAATCCAAGCACCAATTTTCATTTGGATCCATAATCCTGGAAATCCCTCTGCCCAAAGCTACCATCTGTTTTTCTCATCAGACTGCAAGTAACCGGTTGCTTGTAACTTCCTAGATGTGGTGGCTCATATGATCTGTTCTAGAATGCATCCTAGGCAGCTCCCATGGACTCGTGTACTGGCCCTTTGACCTGTCACCAGCAGATACAGAGGACACAGACGAAACTCATTTCCCCTAGCTCCTCCATGTAGCTCTCTTCTTTTAGAGTCTAAATCTTTTACAAAAGCTTTGAATACTGTGAAAATGTTTTACATTCCATTTCATTTGTTTTTTTTTAACTGCATTTTACCAGATGTTTTGATGTTATCACTTATGTTAATAGTAATTCCCGTATGTGTTCATTTTATTTTCATGCTTTTTCTGCCATGTATCAATATTCATTTGACTAAAATCACTCAATTAATCAATGATAATGTGAGTTGTGACTTTTTCCCCCAATGATACACCCCTCACCCTCTCATTCCACACACACTCCCTGCTTGAGTTCTTTTTAGTGCTGTTTTCTGGTCCTAGTTCAATAAATTTCAAATGGTGACTGGGCATGGGTGGGCTGGAGGAGCACCTGGGAGGTTCTGCGGGCTACTCTCACCCCATCCCACGTCTACCATCTGCTCTGTGAAAACTTCCAGAAGTGTTTCTCCTGGCTGTGTGTGTTTTAGATCAGAGAGAAGGTTACATACTTGCTCTGCAAGAATGTATTTTCCAACACTGCCTGTGTTTCTTTTCCATGTTTTTGGTTTCAGATGCACTTTCCCCTCCAGCCAATTCAATGTTAAGATTACCAGCTAAAATTTGAAAACTGTTTGGTATATGGAGTCTTAGACCCACACAAGGAGACCCTGTTTGCCTCTTTAACTTTAGATGAAGAAGCTAAGATATGGGGTGGCCAGATATCCCAATGGGGTGGGACTTCAACCCGTGGTGCTTCTGGGCTAATCCAGGGCTCCCCAGTCCCCGTTGTGTGGCACAATATCTGATTTATCCACTGAGCTTCCCTTGGGGCCCACAGGGTGGCACTTTCCAGAAGACTACACTGTTTTATGTTAGGCTAGATGCTTCTTGCCTAAGGAATTTCTCAGTATGACTTAATTATGAAAGCATGTACAGTGGCAACTTCAGTTCACGTTGTTCCTAATTCATAAGGCACCTCCAAATCTTAGACAACTGACAGTTTTTTCTAGAAATGAGTGATACTCCAAAGTCACCTGAAACCACTCCTAGTCACAGAGATTTTTTTTTTTAAAAAGGTACTGCATGAGGGAGGGTGACAATTCCGTGAAAGTCGTGCTTCAATGTGGAGAGATTTTCCCCATACTAGTAATCCAAGTGGTGAACTAGTGATGTGCTAGCCCAGCTGAGGATGATATTGGCGCTTCCGTTTCATTCTCCCATGGTTAATGAGAACCTCTTTTAAGTTGGTGCAGGTGTCATTATCACCCACTGAAGCCCCACCACCTTGGCCTGTTTTGAATTTTTTTTTAAACAAATCAGAAAAGAAATAAAGGGTGTAGAAAGGCATCTCAGCTTCAGCTGCTGAAGTTGGAGTCCAGGTCACCCAAGGGTGAGGACTGCTTGAGCCAGTGCCTCTCAACGCAACAGCACATGAACAGCAACCTCGCCCTCCAGCTGGGCAGTGCCCACACCTCTCCAGGAATTCTCCGTGGGCTCACTTTCTGCAGGAGGACATGAGGGGTCACAATGTTATCCAAGGTAGGGTGACCTTACTTCTCAGGTCTTGTTCCCACAGGGCACCCAGAACTGTCAGCAGCTCACTTTTGCTCCTGAGGAAGAGAAATCTGTACCAATCACAAAGGTAGTACAGGGAATCATTCTCACATTTTAGCATGTGTAAATATCAGGAAGATTGCTAACATGCCGTTTCTGGTTTCCACTCTTGGAAAATATAGGGTTTGGAAGGTTTGCTGTGGGTCCTTGAACTAGCATTCGAGATTTTCTAGAAGCCAGGAGACAGCTGGGTTAACTTTGCAAAACTTTCCAGTTTTGCATGTACCTGGGGGATGAGAGACAGGAGATGATTGGACTGTGGTGTCTCCCTTTCCCTGGGTGACATGCATCCTATTGGCATAGTTCTTCCTGATGTTCTCGAGTTACTCTTGTTCACTATTAGGGAGTAGGTAGCTACCTAAAAGGGGTCAGCTAGATACACAATGGAGCAGAAAATGAGCCTAACTCCTTTACGGTGGGATACCTCTGCTCTCCAAGGAGTGCTTGGCACTCTTTAAGGTGCATATGAGTCACCTGGACATGGTGTTAAACTGCAGAATCCGATCAGTAGGGCTGAAGTTCCGTATTTCTGATGGGCTTCCTGATGGGTTTGAATAGCTAGGTTTTAATGGGCAAGTGAAAAGGATGACCAGGGCTCAGGGGTGCCCTTGATCCCTGTTGTAGCGACACCATCCCTGGGATCCCGATGTAGAGCCCCAGGTGGAGGGACTCAAAATATTAATCACCACAGTGGAAATAAAGCTCAGAGAGTCACAGTTATAAACCCAAAGCTGGGTGAGGCTTACTCCCCAGAAGTCACACTGCATTTCACTGATTCTTTTTCCTTTGACACCACATATTCCAGAAACTCACAAATCCCTTCCTTTCGCTCTTCCTCAGGCGACGGAGCAAGGCAGCCTCTACCCTTTACCAAGCCCTCCCAGCCTCCAGCCCTGGACCTTGGGGGCGGGGTGGGGTGGGGTCACTGAGTTAACCAACTGGTGGTATTCACTGCGACAGCTAAAGTCATACCAGAACTGGACAACAGAATTGGGACCTTCCATGTTCCATTTGTTCACATCTGGGCGGTTTCAAACTCAGGTTATGGAAGAGGCCAGGAAAAGGGAAGGAAAACTGCAGTATTTGGAGGGGAAATCTTACCTCGCTGATAAATGGAGGACAGCCTGCCGAGCAGGGCTGATTTACTGGGGCAACAGGCATTAGGAATTCCTGTCAGCAAAGGCCGAGGAAGGCAGGCTTTTGTAGGTTTGTAGAAGATGGGTACCAGAACAAGCCCCAAGTAGGAGCAGAAAGCTCCTGTGTCTTTCTACATCTGTGGACTATTTAGATAAGAAGGGGCTGTACTTAATCATGGAGAGAGTTGTTTGCTTAAATAAAGGGAGGGAAAGTTGCATGTGTGTTTAAGGAGAGAAAGAGGAGGTGGGAGGAAGGAGAAAGGATCCAGCAATTTTCCACAGCTGAAACTTCACCACGTGGGTTTAATTAGGATGACCTTCCTATCACCTGAGCACCAGCTTGGGTAGGTGGGGTGGGGGAGGGGGAGAAGGAGTCAGAATTCTTCTGGTTCTCTTGCTGGCATTTCAGTTCAGCTTCAGGGTGAGCGGTTCTGAGCTCCAAGGAAAAGTCCCCACCTTCTCCCTTCCCTGGAGTTCCTGAGTTGTGGGCCCTAAAACTATGCACCTGCATAGTTTCTGGTTTCTGGCTAGCCAGGTGGCAGCTCAAGCCAGGGCTTCTCTGGGATGTCAGGACTTAAATAATGCAATCGAAACCCAGGACTGCATGCTGGATTTCTAGAGGTGACTCTGCTGAAATGCTTTGTACCTGATCTCATCTCTGTAGCACTTTTTAATAATTCACACCAGTACCCCCTGGCACTCTGTCCCTGGGAAAGGATTGGGTATGGGAGGTAGTTTAAGGGCCTCAGTGTCCACTTGTGCTGTTTAGTTCTCTGCAGACCTTATGCAGATCTGGGTCACTTTGCCTAAAAGAATAGCCCACAACCTGAAGAAATAAAGGCATGCCCAAACCAAGTGCATATTTCACAATATGGCCCAGGGACAGCCAGGGTGGGTTCCACAGAATTAACTGGATTCCTCTGGGGTCAGCACTCCCTCCCAAGGCTGGCAGCTGAGGCCACCGGGAATCTAAATTTGGCTGCTAGTCTTGGCAGGTTACTGAGTGACTTCCAGCGGCAGTACATCCCTCCACCATGGCAAATCAGGCCCTGCCCTGGGCCAGGCCAGGGGGAGGCTCAAGGCCCCTGAAGAGGAGGAAGGGGAGGAGGCAGCAGCTCATAGCTGGTTAGAGAAAAAAATAAGTACCAGCCTGTGAACTGAATTAATGGCAGCATGAAGCCTTCCTCGCTCTGCCCCTGACTTGCCAACCGCCACCACCACAAGGAAACGCTCTGTGTCCTCCCATAATTGTCTCAAGCTGCCTCCTGTGCAGTGCCAGGCCTGATGGTACTTCATGATATGGAGGCTGGAGGTGGGAGATGGAGGCTTCCCACGAGGGAGACTAAGTGGGGACGGTGTGGATGGGCCGCAGGATGCTGAGACTTGCATTTATTTTCAGTCAGTGGGCTGGGAGGAAAGAACTCACCATTGAAACCCTAAGAACTAGCTTGACTATGCCCTGAATCTTGACGAAGGTTCAGGTAGAGATGGTGTGTCCTGGCGAGCGCTCCTAGTCAGCTATTTCCCCACTAGGCCTCTTCACTGTGGTCCTCGCTCGCAGCCCTGAGCTGGAGACCACAGCCGAGGGGCCGCTCGCTCCAGTGCTGAGTTTTTTCCAGAGATCCTCGTACAGGACCTATAGCAGGTCCAGAGAAAAGCCTCTCTTTTCTGACTCACTATTTCCTCCCAGCTTGGTGGATGGAAATGTGTTTGTTCAGGAGAAGTGGTTTCAACTGCAGGGGAAGAGGTCCAACTCTTAAATTAAGTCAAATGAAATGCATGTGTTCGGAGAGCGCACATAGACTCGCGCACACAGTCACACGTGTGCCCCCGGAGGGAGTCACAGCCCGGCGCCAGGGGCACTCTTTTCAAAGTGCAAGCTGCTTGAGTCTAAATTTGTTGCTATCGTTTTTTATAATCGCTGTTATGTGTTCTGATGATTGTGAGTGGCGTTGGAATGTTTGTTCTCTTGTAATTGCTTGTTTCCTACTGAAATTTCCATGTCAGACCCTTTCACTGTTCTCATTCTTGCTTGCCTCATATTCTGCCGGCTGGGGAGGCCTATTCCCGGGCCTTGGGTCTCCATGCTACGGTGCTGGTTGGGGGTCCCCCTGTAGTGCCCCAGTCAGGCGGCTGTCACGAGCTGGCCGCTGGAATTCAGGGCAGTGAGCCCCAGCTCAGACACGACCAGCTGGGGTTCCTGGTTGCTGGGCCAAACGTCAGAACAAGGAAGACTTGATAGAGGGCCTGGCCTGTTTCCTGATTTTGGATTAAACTAAATCCAGAGTGCATTTTGCCTCCCCCCACCCCCACCCCAACTATTTCTGAGGAAATGTGACCCTTGTTTCTGATTCAAGTGCACTTAAGTCATTAAAATGTTGATTTACAAAGGGTGGGTAATGTCCAAACAAACCTCTGGGGCCCCTATTCCAAGCCAGTTTCTCTCTTTTTTAATCTTTGTGGGGACAGAAGGTAGAAAGAAGGAAACAAAGATTTTGTC